TGCCGAAGTCACCATGACCTGAGCACGGGGCGGGGAAAAGTAATCTCCCTGGAGAGCCCTTCGTATGGGAAAATCTCAGCCCTAGGCTGTTCGTTATAGAAATGAACAATCCGAGCAGAATCATGGAAATCGACGTGTTTTCTGAGGCCTCGTATGCTTTCTTGAAAACGTATGGGATTTTGCCCGCTGGAGCAGCTATTTGGGGCTCAAGTTGCAAAGCAACTTGGTGGTGCCGCATACAGGGGGTGATTGTGCGCCCTGAGTTCACGTTTGAGCGCGCAGTGTCTTGCAGGGTGTACTTGTTTTTCCAGGTATGCGCAGCTGAGCTCGTCGATTTCGCCCTCGCAGAGGTGCGGCAGATCCTGGGCACATCATGGGTTTTGGGTGGTTTTGATTGGCAGTTGGACCGGGTGCCGTGGGTGGCGTGCTGTCAGCACCACATGTGATACAGATTTAGATTTTCTCATAGTCATATAGTCTTTTATATAGGCAGTCAATGGGCCAGATGTCTGAACCTATGCCATGCTATAGGCGCGCTGGCTCAAAGCACTAGTGCTCTCACCTGCGGTGCCATAAATGGCGGGTGTCGTGGTGGAAGGTGGGGCAAATGATTGCCCCGTCATCCAGGCTTGGCTGCAACTAGAAGGTGTGGTTGAACGGGCTTCGAAAGGACACATTGCCCTTTGTCGGACCGATGGCATTAACAGACAAACGGTGGCTGATAATCACGAACTCTTGAAGCCACTGCTACAGCATTTTGGCACCTATGCTGCACACAATCGCAACATGCAGTGCATGAAAATAGTGCCTGTGTACATGCATGCATATGCTTGAGTCAAAGGTCTATGCCCACTTGCTGAGGCATGCGGCCAACGGTGCCGGCATTAGAAGACTTAGCGGGTCGCTTCCTCTTTTTCTGCAGACCACGGGGGGAAACCGCTTCCCAAGAGCAACCTGGCTATAAGTATCCCAGCTAGCTAGTTGAACTTGCAGTTGAACTTGCACAACTTTAAAACAACTAAGAAAAGACACATGCATGAACACCTTTGTATGAGATCATTGTCACCTAAGGTCACGAAATCAATCGCGAGGCATGGGTGCTACGCCACCTCATCACCACTCTGGCTGCTGCAGCCCGACGCCCCCATGTGCCCCGCACCCCAGAGTTCAGGGAACTCTTTTCAGTCATCGGAATTTCTGTGCCCTCCTCATCATCTAATGTTGACATTGGAGCTTTGGATGCATGTTGGGTGCTCTCAGTTGGGCGACCGCTACAGTTTGCCCCAGCGACCAAAACTAGTCCATCTTCCACGCAGCTGAGGATCCACCGCCCCAGATGGCGAGGATGCAGAGGAAGAGTGCGAGGATGCAGAGTCTGAGGCAGGGACACAGGATGAGGAGGCAGGACCAGAAGTCCCAGTGCATGTCAAATCATTGAAAGATATTGAAAGCATCAATATAGCTAGATTATTTTTCTATCCCAAAAAATCCTTCAGTGGCCGCACTAGGTTGAATGTGAAGATGCATTGGTTGATGTCAAGCCCAAAGATCCCATGCCAACTTCTCCCAACGCCGCGTGCAACCTGAATGCAACTTACAACAGTCGATGTGCAAATGGAGTGTGCAAGCTGTGGCCCAGGCATCGCCTGTTTCCAACAAAGCTAGGATAGATCCCACTTCTTTTGAGGATGAGAAGCCGATTTAGCACGCAACTACCATGCATGTCTCTATTATCTTTCTATGTGCATGTGGCCAAGGTGTCGGCAACGCGCCAATTGCTTCACCGCCTGTGCGAAGTCCTTCTGGAGTGGAGCTGGTCACACCTCCACCTCATGGCAGTCAAGCTGCATTGGACGCAGTGCACTTTTCATATTATTGTGCGCATGCATGCATGGCTCATGTATTGGAGCTGAGGTCCCATGTACTCTCCCGAGACTGCGCCCAAAGAATCTCCACACGTGCCTGTGAAGTGTGGCTACCGGTGCCAGACTTGTGGGCAGTCCCATATCATGGAGGACAAAATTCTGGCTACCACATGCCCTAGCGGAGAGAAACACAGTTTGGTGAAACGCGCAATTATGTGTCAGAATTGTCATGATACCAGCGATGATCTCGAGACCTTTATGAAGGAAACCTGTGAAGGTTGCGCGTCTCCGCCACCCTTGCAAGACACCGACACCAAGGCCAAGGCCAAAGTCCCACATCTTCCGGAGCATTGGTCTTCCATGCCTGTGGTTGTGACCAAAAGGGCCAGGGTGGCAATGGATTTGGAGAATGCAGAGAAAGAAATGGGGCGGCTTTTGTTACTTAAGGGTCTGCAAGCTGAACGCCTCAAACTACAAGAACTCCTTGCTGCCAAACATCAAAGGAAAACTGGTGAACCAGGTTCCAAAGTTGAACAGTCATAACCTTTTGGCACTTTTGTATATACTTGTATCACGCAAAGGATCCGTATGCGTTGGGTGGACATTAAGTATATACATTGAACTGCCTCCCAACGCAAGTAAGGTGTGGACAACATCGAGACCCAGCCCATGGTTTCCTCGGAGATCGCCCTCTACACTGCAGCGTTTGAGGCCCATCCCACTGACAAGACCCACGCCTTCACTGCTGTGGGAGATACCGCCGAGCCTGCAAATCGAGAGGCTAGGGTGATTGCATAGAACAATGGGAATGCATGCGTGGACACTACTTGACACAAATAGTACGCGTATATATGTGCGGACGCTTTCTTTATGCAAACATAATTTTTAGGAAGCGGGCTGTGAAGCTTTGACGCCTACTGCACCTACTGGTGGGCCAGCTGTGGTCAACGAGGAGAAGCTCCCCACGGATTCTGGGAGTTCAGCCGCGGTTCCTGCTAGTGGTACTGAGCCCCCCTAATGAAACCGGCTTGAAGAAGGAGATGGTTCCTAAACCTAAGTGTGTTGAGGAGGAGCCCTGCATCTCACCAGCTGATCAGGCTAAGCTGGCTGGGACAGACGGCCCAAAGAAAAGGGGACGACCGCCCAAGAATGCAGCAGCAAAACAAAAAGCAGCAAAAGCAAAAGCACGTCCGCAAGCGAAAGCAAAAGCAAAAGCGAAGGCACAGGCGAAGGCAAAAGCGAAGGCAAAGGAGGCGAAGGCAAAGGAGGCGAAGGCAAAGGAGGC